TTGGTTTAGTTTAAGCCCTTTAACTATTCATTTTATTCTAAAAAATCAGCCTTTCGCATGGTTAATTAATGCCTTTACCTAATTTGCATATTGCTGAAATATGCAAATTAGGCAAAGGCATTAATTAAGCATGCAAATAGATAATTTTAACGGGAAAATGTAATTTTGCGTGAATAGTTAAAGGGCTTAAACTAAACCAAATTGTCTGAAATTTTGTACAGTAATTAAAAACCCGACAAATTTTCAATCTATCAACTCAAAATATTATTAGAGCTTTTAAATTTTGTGCGCGAGCCATTTTTAGTTTGTTGGAAAAGACACACCCCCTGGTTCACAAAATTTGAGTTCGAGAAATTTTTTTCATTATTCTACATTATAAGTACCCAAAGAAGCTATATACATAAAAAAGCGGATACAAATAGCTGTTTTGCGAAATTGAGAGCAATTTCGAATCTGTTCAGTTTTTTTTTTATACACCCTGTATAGAAAGCAACATTTCAAGAAGCTGTAAAAAAGGTTTTCCCTATAATTTTAAGAATTCTTTCATACGAGACAAATTTTTATTCCCATTTTCCTTTAAGCTAGAAACTGATAACTGAGAATACAAATACGAGGAGTATCAGTATGTACTTGCGTGTCTTGTCTTATTTTTTACAGAGAACATGGACGTGGTGAATCGATGAAAAACGGACAATTTGGAAATGTTTCATTTGTAGACGAATTTATATCAGGAAACGTGAAATACACAAAAGTTATCCTAAATTATGCAGTGATTGTAATAGCGTTAAACAATAAAAATGTGTATGCAACTATCTGTTCATTAATTTGATAATTTCCGCCTGGTTCGATCCTAAAGTGGCCTAATAGAAGTCCAGTAAAGCTCGACTTTCAATGTATTCAGTGTCCAATTGATTTGAAAACTAGGACTGAAGAGAGTATCCTTTTGATTTTAAAGCAAGAATATTTATAATGAGATAAGATTTTAGTATGCAGTCAAAATCGTTGGAAATCGGATAGCGACGTTTTTAAAACAGCTACATTATTTTTAAAATACGTTAGTAACAAGTTGGGTTGGTATCAGTACGAGCTTGTTGTCATCAACTTGTTAATAGCTTGTTATACGTGCGGATGGTAGATCTGTTGCGAGTCTGTTGGCCTTGTCAACCTTGTTACAAGATGATTACAATTACTTGTTCCGACAAACTTGTCCACAACTGGGAACAAGCAGTGCGAACACATCTTATTGACAAGCTGTGCATGAAGATTTTTACGCGTGTAATACAGGTATAGCCAATTTGACAGAGCCAAGAAAGACATACTCAAAGCTCGGGTTCTCGTTTGGCCAGTTGAGTTCAACTTTTGAATTTTGATCATTGCCTACACGCCCATCCCACCTTGTCCACATTTCTTCCCATATATTACGGCCAATATTAATAAAATCAATTTAAGTGCATTTTAGCCAAACATAATTAATGAAATATCATGCAAGCTTTTGTACCATGTATGGCGGGTAAATGGCGCTGAGACACTTCAATGATGCAGAATTAGCGGTGAACATCAAAAGAACGCCCTTATATTCTGATCATGTGGGAAACGTATCGACGAACATCATGCAACCACGCATTATTGAAAATTTCTTCCTTCCTATCCCGAAAATTATACAATATCAACATGGCTATGTTCCAGACTCTCGCATAGTTAATTATTAATGAAATCGAGAATTTTATCTAAGACTAAGAGACGAATTTTGACACTAAGATTATTAGTAAAGTTGGTCTAGTAGAACAATGTCATGGTTGTTTCAAATAGAATATTCTGTTTCAAATTCTGTTTCAATAGAATAAGGTTAGGGAACTTGATGCAGACATAATAGACCCAATTATCTACGTTTTCGGCTGTCGGTTCATCGTCACGTGTGTATTGTTTTTTCGCCCAACCAACCAATCGCAGTGTGTTGGATAATTACCTACAGTCGTGATATTACACAATGGTTAATTCAAAACATGGCTATATTGGTTGCCCTAGCGAAAATACAATGCACATGTGACCCATAGTGGAACCGACCATTTCTTGTTGCATAAACCAAGACAAAAAATGTAGATAATGAGGTCTATTATGTCTGCGTCGAGTTTCCTGACTTTCTTATTCTATTGACTATTGGTCATCCAATATAGACCATTGAAATCATGATGCATGCGTCAACTTAATTGTGTGTGTTATAATAGCTCAAAAAATAAGAAAAACCGTATTAATTAATACAAAAATTTGGCAATACGCCAAGCACAAATCGATTAAATTTTGGTTTAATTTGGACAAAAAGGCTGAATGAAAAATTGGCAAAGGTTTACCACGCAGTCTCTGAGAGCGCTCTGGTTGCATCGGTACACAGTCGTCAATATACGAAATTACTTATACCTTTGTATTCGAGCCAAAACATACATTTGTACTAAACTTTTGAAAGCACTTATCTTCCCTGAAGTAGCAATAGTAAGTGAATTCACATAAAGGCTCGTAATTTACACTTGCAATTTTTGCTGCGATTTGAGGTGCGATTTTCTCCTTCTGATGGATGTGAACGAGTGGATAAGTTATGAATGTTCAGATGAGGGTACAAGGCTCCGAACATTCGTAACTCATCTACTCGTTCACATCCATCAGAAGGAGAAAATCGCACTAGAAATCGCGGTAAAAATTGCAAGTGTAAACGGGCCTTAAGGCTGTACAACACTCACAAATTGTATAGGTATTAAAGTCAAACCACAGTGGGTCATGAGAAAGTTGCACGAGGGTCATAATTAAGTCAAAAAAGGAAGATTCTATTCTCAAGATGCTATTGTTGTCATTGTTGATGAGTACGTTCTCGTTGTCATTGCATTTGCCAAACCCTCTATAGTAAGGCTGTACAAAACTCACAAATTGTGTAGGTATTAAAGTCAAACCACAGTGGGTCATGAGAAAGTTGCACGAGGGTCATAATTAAGTCAAAAAAGGAAGATTCTATTGTCAAGGGCTTGGCGTAGGAGTGTACATTGACGCAACTAAACCCCTTGTCACGCTATCCTTGCCAATAATGTGAGCTGTAATACTAGAAGTTACTATCGCAAGTGAAGTGCTACCTCAGCTATTATACACTGTAGTTTGCACATATGTAATGGTTTGTTTTCCAAAGCTACTCATCACAATGACAGAACAAATGTAAATGTTCAAACTGCCAAATGTTGTTTATCATTGGTGCGATCTAATTTATAACTGGATAAAATTAGGTACAGTCTGCAAACAGTGTTTGTCAGGGGAGAGGGATGTACTCCGCAAAGCAGACTATATGTGAAGTATATCAAGATTTTGTTGGCATCTCATTCGATTGAAGCGTTTTGTAGATGAAAATTATTGAGTGTACTGTGTAAGCCTCTTGTCTTGTCACGCTATCCCTATCAATATTAACAATAATTGAACAATAAGTCTTTAATTAATTAATCAATCATAAGATAAAAGATACATGAGATAAACTTTACATTTAAAATACGAAATACTGATTACACAAAATTACGTCTATTTACAAATATGCAGGTTTTAAAATTGTGAGCTACCGTGATTAAGGCTTTGTTGCGTTGTTGCATGATTAGTAACTGTTCCCGATCAGGTCCTATTATATTGTTTTTGCTCGAAATCCCCATCTACGAGAAAGATCTATGTTAGTGATACTCTCGCAAACAAATCGTGCCTCGCACTTGCTGGGCACTTCTCATAATATCATATTGGGATACGAATCAAAACGAACATTCCTGAAACTAAGTGGCGAAACCTCCAGTTTAGAGGAAATGCGTAGTTATTCGACTTGACCTGTCAATGGGCCGGTCACATGAAATATTAAATATTTATTTTTTATAGCTTCCACGCCCTACCCAAGAATCTTATTGCAAAATATAGTTATAATGGTCTGACAAATTTTGAAACTCATTTAAAGTTAGCTGTGGTTATTGTGTATCTTGATCCAGTATACCGAAATTAGTATTTATGTAATCAATTAAATATCATTATATATAATTATCACTTTTATTTTATTGTATGAAATAGATATATCTATACCCGTGACTAAAATTGTGACTCGCATGCATTTAAAAAAAAACAACGAAAAGCTCCTACCCCCACCTAGAATAGCTGGACGCTTAACATGAAGTATCATTTTTATGGCTATATATAGCTAGGTTTGCCGCATTTATACATGAACTATAAATATTTTCCTTGTCCAAATCTTTTCCTCGTGCAGTCAGATCCTATATCCGTACAGGACAATGCATAATCTAAATACACGGACTGGAGATAGTACGTCCCCATTCATAAATGAAGTCAATGCAGACAGCCACAAATCCGATTGTGGCGCCGGTTGCTCGGATATAGGCCACTAAAATGAGTAGCTAAAAGAGCTTCTTGCTCTTCTGGTTATTGGTAGGATGTAGGAAACCTATATTGTCTAACAAGAAACTGGTCATGGCGTAGTGATCTCTCTTTGACTCTTTCGTCTTTGCTAGTGAATAACTAATATTGCTGCGGTGAATCGCATTATCTCATGTGTCCCATAAAACGCGCGTTCTATACTCATGTAAAGGATTTTGCAGACTAATTCAAAAATCACTTATCATAAAAATTGTGGATTTGTGGTCATCATGCAGATTCACAGGTCATTCCCTAATCTTCGTCAACGTATACACCCATAAATTCGCGAGTCATTACAGTTTGAATATAAAGAGATTTTTCTCATGCGTTGTGGAACAGGATGTTGGTCTCAGCGGCACCTAAAATTCATACCAATGTGTAGTTAAATTTATGCAATTGGCTCTTAAGGTCGCACCCACGAGTGTTGGAGAGTATAAATACGCTTGCCCCTGCACGTTTACAGTATCAGACTCGAAATCTTAGACACCAAGTTCACAAGATCGATAGAGGCTCATTTTGTTGGAGTTACACAGTCACTAAAGAATATACAAAAGGCTATAGAAAAAATGAAGCTATCTTTGGTTTTCGTCGTTGTAGTTTTAAGTGTTGTGGTTGTGTTTAACGAAGGTACGTTTTTACAGTATATACTTCATATATATATAATAATACTGTATATAGCTATCTTGGCTTAAAATAAATAAAAGGGCTCAGCAAATGACTACACATTCTTAAACATCAGAGCTAGGATTTTACTCAAGATTTGACTACTCAATGACAATGTTAGAATTTTGCGTGATTATCACAACGGTAAATCTGTTATCCGTATACCTCTTAATATATAAAGCTTATAGTTATACCTGTTCTATTGTAGGTTTTTACTTGTTTCTAACCATCAAACTGACGTTTATACGTCATTTGATCAATTTCTAAAGTTGTTTCTTTTAGTTGGATTTTTTGTATTAATTTGGTTAGGGTTAGGGTTGGGTTAGGGGTTAGAGTAGGGATAGGGTTTGGGTTAGTTACATAGCCATGACGTCAGGCGTCAGTTTGGTAGATGGAAACAAGTGCTGATCTCTATTCTATGCTTCTGTGTACTGGAACAATGATAATTAGGCATGTGAGTTTTATTTCATTTTCTTAATTCTGTACTTGCAGCTTGTAATCCGGGTGGAAACACCAGACGTACACCACCCACAGAACGACCCACATCTCGCCCCAGCACCGTCAGACCGAATAAAATTCACCGACGAATTTTCCGTTTCATCGTAACATCGAAACCAGCGCTGAAGAAGACATGCAATGCACCGAATGAATGTTTGACTGACTGTGGGGTAAATAAATACGTTCTTGGAAGATACGGCTGCACTGGAGGATCATGGTGTTGCGCAAGTAGATAAGGAAAGACTACAAAATATAGGAAAGCTTGAAATAGTACAAAATGAATTATATCAGTTATATTTTTCAATTTGTCGCCTGGAAATGGATTTTGGATAATATAAAATAGACTGCAATACATTATGCACAAAGTATTTATTACCACTGCCTATGAGTAGTGTTGTAAAATAGACGATTATCATCGATAAGCAGATTTGCTGTGAATGTATTTATAAATAAATAAAGACACGATAAGCTAACTTGCTGTGAATGTATTTATAAATAAATAAAGACACAATAAGCTAACTTGCTGTGAATGTATTTATAAATAAATAAATAAAGACAAAATGTCAAAGAAATAGTATTTGTTGGTATTTAATATTTATTAAGTGTCACTATTAAGTATATTTATAAAGTATAGTTGATTAAGTATAATCCCGATATGATTCTTGGTATGTGAAAAAATTTGGATCATTCCAAAAATGATATTTTGGTCACTATAGTTTAAATAACAAATCTCATGAGAACATTTTAAATGTCTGCTAATTGTAGATATTAAGTAGTTACGTTAAGTAGTAAAACTATAATATTTTTAAAACGAAAGTAAAACATAAAAGCCTTGTAAAATTGTTTAGGGAAATTTGAATGTTGTGTCCACAAGTTCCCACCCCTATAGACGATAACCAAGCGCATGTTATTTATTTCATATTAAACCTCAAACATCAAAAATATCAAAACTATATATTTTATTGTTATATAGTTGGTGTCAAAGTTCAATTTTCTCTTTGCCGATTGGTCAAAACCGTATCACGTGCCGGTCCACAAAACGTCATGTTCGGCAACCGGTCCGCAATCAAACATTAAAGAGGTTAAGATACCCCGGTTTCGGTGTATACACGTGTACGGGTAGCATGATTTTGGTTAGCAATATTTTCGTCGATGTCTGTACCTTTACTCGTAATTAAGGTGCACATTTTTCGCATTAAATCATTGTCTATTGCAAGAAAACATAAAAAGTATGATGGAATTATACAGACATCAGTAAAACAAGATGACACACTCGTACCCGTACACCGAAACCGAGGTATCTTAACCTCTCTATTGTTTAAGCAGAGATCGCTTAAACAATAATAATTTATAATCATTTATATTATTTATATTTATTTATAATCATTAATTATTTATATTTATTTATAATCATTTGTAATCATTTAAAGTTCAAGTAGTGTTGAACGAGTATTTATATTTATTTATATTTATAATCATTTCTAATCATTTATAGTTCAAGTAGTGTTGAACCAGTATTGGATCATTCCAAAATTTGGATCATTCCAAAATGATATTTTGGTCACTATAGTTTAAATAACAAATCTCATGAGAACATTTTAAATGCCTGCTAATTGTAGATATTAAATAAGTGATAAATATATCACAGACAAAATATTGGAACAAATTCTTGAAGTGGAAACAACAGTATGACTGTACATTCGTAAGGATTAGTAATTTTTATACCATAATGAATAAAGGAATACCGAATGGTTTTCCGTGCAGGATTGCGTGATCCGTGCACGAGGGATGTTGCGAGACTTTCGGAAAGCGTAAAAATACACGAGCCGTAGGCGAGTGTATTTTTACGCTTTCCGAAAGTCGAGCAACATCCCAAGTGCATGGATCATGCTATCCTGCGCGGGAAAACCATTTGGTAATTGTTTTATAAAATTACTACAGTGAAACGACGCTTAACTTGATTAAAATTACTGATGAAATGTGCAGTTCTCACAACATTCGTGAATTAACCAATCAGAGAATCGCTAATCCACGCTATTGAAAACAACAACATATGTGGACAGAATTTGATCGCAAATTCGCGAAAGTATACAGCGAAAATACAGGGACTTTTTCGATAAAATATACGAAATTTGAAATGGAAAACCCGCTAAACAGACAGTCAAAGTAGTAGTGAATATTCTCTAGCTGAATATGTGAAGATTGCGAAGCGTTTGATCAACTTCGAAGCGAGAGATGTTGTACTTGCATGCCATGGTCTGATGAATTTCAACGCTTATACGCGTTGCTACTTGCTGAATAGCAATGTATCGATCAGAAATTTATTCATACAACTAAACCAACGTCTCAATAATTGGAAACTTACTTCAAAGTCGAAAGGTATCGTACAATGAAACTTTACAGTGCGAGTATATTTGTAAAATTATATGCAATAATTTCTGTTCAGAATTTCCCGTGCAGGATTGTCTGATCCTGCACGGCTGTTGACCAATCAAATTGCGTGTTTCACTGTAGTTATTATATAATACATATTAATGTGGACCGTAACGACAAGCGATACACGCATGCATGCATAAATCATGAATCACCCATGCATATTAGACATGCAATGACGTCTGCGGCTTTGCCCACGCAAATTTAACAGAGACAATAGTAAATCCCATTATCCCAATAGTTACATCATGAAATGTCAATTTTAAGCGAACGAGATACCATCTTGCAATATTGAAAGTATTATAATGCCTGTATATAATTATACTGTATTAATTAATGTTACACCGCGAATAGAAATGCAAACGCCCCCACCATTGCGGCATTTACACTTCGATCTCTTCTGATAATTTCAAAACTTGGTGAACAGCGGACTTGATCACGAAGACCAATCTCCTCGATTAAAATTGAGGAGATTGGTCTCATTTATCAAGATTGGTCTCATTTAGTACATAATATGTCTAAAACTGCTTATAAATATTCCGGCGTATTTCATCAATGTGCATGGGCTAAGAGACTATATATCTATTTTCAAACATGCCATGGCCCATAGCCATACCTAGATGAAATGATATTTTATACCTACATTACATGATAGGGTATTAAAATAATTTGACTCGCTTATTAACTCACCCACATTTATTGGCAATTCCTCATTATTATATTCACACTCGGTTGCACGACAGCCTTCAGATTTGCATCACTCCCACAATGCAATGTCCAAACAGTTCTATATAAATTAGTTTAGTAAAATTATGTTTAGTTAACTATACTCATAAACAGTCGAAACTATAACGGAAATATGCATGGCAAATGTTTTGTTTCGCTCAAATACTGAACAATTAACAGGCTTTAGCCGCTTTATAGTGATGTTTGATCCACTATGAACCTAATTTTGGGACATCTTTCACAGTCTGCTAATAATAAAACGTTTCCTGCCGCAATATATACAGTTTTCGCATTATTAAACTGATTATACCTCAGTTGCATATATCAATAAGAATTCTACCAAATATACTGACAGCGCGTTTCTGGGAAGTTGAAATTTAAATTTTTAAGCACGTACACGGAAACGCAACATCAAGTCGTCAACGACGACGACAAAAATACTCGTTCAACACTACTTGAACTATAAATTATTACAAATTATTATTATAACTATTATTAACTATTATCCATCGTATGTAATCATGCAATACAGTTTAGGCTGGCAAATGTGATCGAATGAATGACCCCGCCGCGGGTGTGGAGGCCCTTGCTTGCGAGGTTGATGAATGACGTGTAAAAGACTGAGAATTGTTTACGTCTAAAAAGCGACTCTATACTTTTGTGTGCAAGCTCACTCATTTGCATCTGTCAGAAATACAAAATCGACGACAAAATTACCAGTGTGAACCAGGCTTTAAGGACAAGTTAAGACAAGTGTTTATGGACTTATGGTTGAGAGAAGTTCTATACAACTATAATTTGAACAGTTCTATAGTAGCTTGAAATAGAAGACGTGATCGCGGACGTGATAGTCTGTGTTTTGCCGTTGGAAACAACCTGAGGGCGTCAGGGCGAGGACGACGTTAGCCCACGTGCGCGCAGGCCCAAGGGAACTATTAGTTCCCTTGGGCCTGCACGCGGGCTAGGACGACGTCTAAAATCTCGCGAGATTTTCATTATTTATTTTTTCCTACAATCAATGAATTTCATTGTGTTAATATATCATTTTCGTCCTGCTTTCTAATAACGGTAGTTAATACTTTTTCGTCACAACTAAAAGTATATAAATTCAAATTTTAAAGCTGTTTCTTGTCACGTCCGCGGAGTACTTGCATAGCCTTCACTATATTGACACTATAATCCGATCTATACAAAAGTTGTTTGCACTACCGTCTCCCTGTGTGCTTTGTGGGAACTCCCCTATTCCTCAGCAGTTTTGAGCTGAAGCTAGGTTTGAAAGATTTCCGGTGACAACACAAACCCAAGCACATATACAAGGACTTTGTTTCATTGCAAGTTTTCGTACAGAAGTTAAACAGGTAAAATTTATTTAACTTTATTCGGTTTATTTGTTTAATTTAATTGTTTCCTCAATTAACTACTAGTGTACTACATTTTCACACATTGGATATCTTAAATCGTGACCGCTGGTCATTATTTCTTTGTTGTTTGAGAGTTGAGTCCATCAAAGTTTATGTGATCACTGTAGGAATTTTGCATGGGTAAATTCTGTGTTTAGTTGAAAGAAAAGTTTGACGGCGAACAGACTTAATCGGTTTAACACTGAGACTTCTCCAAACCTAAAGCTGTTTGAATAGTTATTTTATATACCTATTTTAACTCAGTTTCAATTTAACTCTTCATTTAGCTTGTTCACAGGTGTTTCAGAATTCTCTGTCATGTATTTGAACGTGGTTTCCATCATCACTTTTGCGGCATGGATTTCCGCTGGCTCTGCATCGGTAAGGAAAGACAAGACACAAGATATTCAATGACCTATTCAATACATTGTGTTTTATGACTATACAAAAAGACCAATTTGAATACATGCAGTATAGAAAAACTAAATTGGCTTAATCATGGTTCAAACTTCATACTTCATACAATTGCCTTATACTTTCTACACAAAAATATAAGACGGCGCGAAGACAGTAAAGAATTTTGAAACAATTATACATGTAAAACTATATACACACGGTTAAATTCGATGGGTCGGAATTTTAAATTCATCCAAAACGTTTTATCCGTCATGGTCAGACGGATACAATGTCTGTATCATACGTCGTATCGAATTAAATGCATGAATTATATGTTAACATTTGTTTCTGATCCTGTGGTTTCTGTTTCTGTATAATCCGATCCATTGAATTCGTCGTTTGAAACGTATTTTAAACTCGACCTATCGATAAATGCAATAACGAATAGGATTAGCCTGAATTAAACGGATTTGCCGTATGAAACATGCCTTTTTATACTACAATCAAAGTTTTTGTGATCACAGTAGGAATTTTGCATTGATAAATTCAAAGTTTTGAATTAAATTAGTTAGTCAAGTGCGAGAAAAATCTGCACATATCAAAGTAGCCATCTCGGCTCTTACCATCAGAAAAGATGGTCATCTAATTCAAACAAAAGTTAATCAAACAAACAATCTACTTAATTCATTCTGCTCAGATAATAATGTTGACTTTATTAACCATACTAACATAGATTTAGATTGTTTAAATCGTGGAGGTTTGCACTTGAACCGCAAAGGTAGCACGATAATGCAAAGAAACTATATGGATTTTTTAAATTGACGCGACATCCGTCAGACTAACTCGGAGGAAATGTTGTATTCGAATAGGTTACCATATCTTAGGGGTTTCAAGATGGCATTACTGAATATTGTCAGTTTGTCGAAACACATTGATGAAATTCGCTTATTGTTAGAAAATCAGACTGTTGATATTCTGGCACTCAATGAAACAAGACTTCACCCTGATATTCCAAGTGAATTTGTTAATATTGACGGATATGATATAGTTCGCATGGATAGGGACAAACACGGTGGCGGTGTCTGTTTTTACATTAGGCGGACGATATCATATTTAAATCGTGGTGATTTAGTGCCGGAAAATTTAGAGTCAGTATGTTTGGAAATTAACCGGCCCAACTCTCGTTCCTTTATCGTTTCTACTATTTATCGTCCGCCGTCAGCAACCGTCGAATCTTTCTCACAAATTGAATCTTTGCTTAAGAATGTCGATAACGAGAACAAGGAAATTTACTTATTAGGAGATTTAAACTGTAATCTGTTAGACCAGTCTAACTCTTCTGCTAAACACTTACATTCTATCATGCAACTTTATCAACTTACACAAGTAATCGATAAGCCTACAAGGATTACGGAATCGTCTTCTACGTTACTAGACGTTTGTATTACCTCCTGTCCTGAGCGAATTGCATTTCATGATGTAATTCATATGGGAGTGAGTGATCATAGTTTAATTTATGTAGTAAGAAAAATTAATTCATATCTTAAACCACACGCTAGCAAAAAAGTCGAATTTCGAAGCTTCAAGCATTTCAATGTTGAGAATTTCAAAGTCGACCTTATAAACTTACCGTGGTATTTAGTTGACAGAGAAACTGATATTGATAATAAATGGGCATGTTGGAAAAATCTTTTTATAACTGTTCTTGATAAACATGCCCCGGTTAGGGAAAGACGGGTACGAAATAAAACATCTGTGGCATGGATTTCTAGGAATATCAGAAACAAAATGTTTGAAAGGGACCGTTTGAAAAGAAAAGCAATTTTGTCGGATTTAAGTGAAGATTGGAGCCAGTATAAACATTATAGGAATAATGTCAACATTGCAATGCGTGAAGCTAAGAAAGTTTACTACAAAAGCAAATTTGACAAACATCAAAACAATCCAAAACAGGCTTGGAGGACGATTAATGATATCCTTAGGAGAAAAAAGAAGGACACAATGATTAACGAATTAAAGCTAGGAAATGATACAATTACTTCTCCTGTGAGAATGGCTAATTGTCTTAATGACTATTTTACAAGTATTGGTGGTAAAATTGGAGACTCCTGCTCTGAACACACTCAGAATTTAAATTTTGGCAGGCATATGAGTGATAATCTAAATACTAGTTTGGAATTTACTTTGCATCCTGTTAACGAATCACAGGTTTTTAGGCTACTTAACAATTTGTCTATTTCTAAATCTACTGGATGTGACAAAATACCGGCTAAAATTCTAAAAAAATCTGCTTCTGTAATTACACCATCTTTGACCAATTTGTTTAACTCTGCTATTGGGATGGGAATTTTCCCCTCTGAATGGAAAATTGCTAGAGTTATACCGCTTCATAAGAAGGGTTCACGCTCCGTTTTAGACAATTATAGGCCAATATCAATTTTGCCGGTCATCAGCAAAATATTTGAAAAGATCTTGTATGAGCAGTTATACGAATATTTTACCACAAATAATTTATTGTCTGAACAGCAGTTTGGGTTCAGGCGCTTTCATTCCACGTCCACTGCTTTGCTTGATTGTACTGATGAGTGGTATGTTAATATGGATCGTGGTTTGTATAATCTTGCCGTTTTTCTCGATTTAAAAAAAGCATTTGACACGGTAAACCACGACATTTTACTGGCTAAACTAGAGTTATATGGTATTAAGAACACGCCTCTTATGCTTCTCAAATCGTACTTATCAGATCGATCTCAGAAATGTCAAGTAAATGGGGAACTTTCCACACTAAAATATCTAAAATATGGCGTTCCCCAGGGTTCAATTTTGGGTCCACTTCTGTTTTTAATTTATATCAATGATTTGCCGAATTGTTTACAACACTCTACAGCACGCATGTTCGCCGACGATACTAACATCACAGTGTCCGGTAAATCAGTTAAGGAAGCGGAGGTGGCCGTTAATGTCGATCTCAATAATATCAGAGAATGGCTTCTATCGAACAGGCTCTCTCTTAACCTTGTCAAAACGGAATATCTTTTGATTGGATCACGCCACAATATTAACACGTTAGAAGAACAACCGCGTGTTTTTATTGGAGATGAACCAATTAAAGGGATTCAAGTTACAAAAACTCTTGGAGTCAAAATTGATCAATTTTTAACTTGGGACAGTCATATTGACCAAATTTCTAAAAAAATATCTTCTGGAATAAGTGCCATGAAAAAGATAAAGGATTTCACTAATTCTGATACTTTGAAGTCGGTCTATTATGGTCTTGTCCAACCCCCTTTCGACTACTGTTGTGAAGTTTGGAATTCCATTAGTAGAGGCCAGTCTGAACGACTACAAAAACTTCACAACAGATGTGCTAGAATTATAATGAACTTTAAAGATGAGCCTGGGCAATCTCAACTGGCCCTCGATCAATTAGGGTGGATAAGCTTGGAAGAAAGGCGAAAACATAATATGGCCTGTCTCATGTTTAAGGTTGTCAATAATTTGGCACCATCGAGGTTCTCATCAATGTTCCAGAATTCTAACCATATCCACAGTTATAATTTACGAGGTTCAAATTCGTCTCTCTTTCTGCCCCGACCAAATACCGAGTATGGCAGAAAATGTTTTCGATATAGTGGGGTTAAAATCTGGAATAGTATTCCTGAACAAGTAAGAAACAGCGAATCTTTAAATTCTTTCAATAGAAATATTTCCTCTGTTAGTCTGACGAATTAGCTATTTGAGTTTTGTATACCATTTGTTTTGTAATATGTATTTGTATTCGTAGTTCTTAATTTTCTTAGTGATTTTGTATTTTATATATTTTTGTAACATTTATCTACGCCCCACTTGGAAAGCAGCTATGGTTGAAGTGGCCAGCGTAGTCAAATAAAGTTTTATCCTATCCTATCCTAAAGTGTCCGCAAAAACATGGCGGATTTTGAGTGAAAATGACGCCATTTCCATGACTACAGCAGCTCATGACTACTGGTCCCTAAATTCATGGTAATTGCCACTGAACAAGGCTCAAATATGAGCCCGCCACAGTTTTCACCCCCCCCCCCCGGTTTTTATA